CGTGTCCAAAGAGTCTTACTTCCTTGTCAGCACAGTACTCAGTCCATGGCAGATCTGCTCCCTTCTAAGTAGCTGGTCATAACCCCTGTGAGTAGATCTTTCTATTACTTCAGCCTGGGTCTGCAACTAACATCTTCTAAGCTCCCAGCCTTCGTATGTGTTAGCGGATCATCATTACATACTTAACACTGTTACATTTCCACTTAATCCGTACCGGTCCCATCTGCCCTCCTCCTGTCCTCTCTATCATCGTTCGAATCCGTCCTACTCTTCTACTTCCATATCCTGGGTTGTCCTCTCTGCATACTAACTTGCCTTCGTCATGAGGAATCAATACTAGCATACGCCTCAGTCATATACATCCTCACGCGTTCTTTGAATCCGCTGGAGGAAAACATGCTTACGCCACTATCAACCACTCTACAACCAAAGAACCATCTTTTCGATAGACATGTCAACCCACAGCAACATTGTGGGTGTCAGTTCCCGCACGTTATGGCTTTCTAGATGCTAACGGTTCTTCAAAAGTCTTCCCTCAGCCGCGCTAGCAAACTGCCTCTCACTACATGATAAAGTGGTGTAAATACAAGTAATGCTCCCGCTCTCTGGGAAGTACCGGCTGGTTGAATCTCGTATAGATAAACACCTATGGCAGATGCATTACTGTGGTGCGTACGTATCCTCTCGCGATCTCTCTCTCTCCCAGATTTTCTCATAATAAACGGAATATCCTCCCTCGCACACCACTCAACGCTGTAGATGGCAAAGTCTCTGCTATACATTAACCCATCCTTATGCAATACTCAAAACAATACATACGTAAATCCTCCTACTACGCCGCCTCGTTTCTGAACTTTCACATCTCACATATAGAGGCACGAACTCACTCCTCTTTGCTAATCACACCTCTGTCTCTCCGCACCTCTACCGACAAAAAAAGGTTTGGCGTTAACGCAAAACGACCACTCCTCTGAACCGACTAACCAGGCACCACATTATGTGCACTAGGCTCTCTATGGCAAGCATACCACATGTAATTCTAATCTCTTTTAAACAGAACCAGAAAGCATTCTACAGGAATATGTCAAAAGGGCAAAGAGCTTGTAAATGATATGAAAAGAGTCAAAGATTACCCTGAGAAGCTTGAATAGGGCGGGACCTTTTCGAATCCGCTATCTTGGCTGGTAATACAGTGGGAGGCTTTATGCCGTGTCCGGTGCCATCGTTTAGGGGGACGTGACTGTTCGTCCCCTACGAACGACAGTTCGGAAGACCTTACTGGTTTTAAATGAGGTGGACTTGGAAATCGTGTGAATCATTACAGACCGGATGAGCGCAGATACATCTCCACTCTAATATGGCGTGAGGAGGGGGCCAACCGTCATACTCGCCACCACCAGTGGATATATCTTGTGTTCTCACCATGGAGCTTTGACCGGATAGCCAAAGTCCACATGACCACTTACGAAGGGACCCACAATCGGCAATCCGAGTTACGTGGCATGGCAACCGACACTCTCTATTCGTCACGTGAAAAACCAAACATAAACGAGTTACGCGAGCAACCTCCCTCACCACAGGTGGCCCAGCCTTCCCCGTGTATTCCAAGCAACTAATATAATTCCATACTCTCCTTCGCGATACTGCTTCTGTTGACCACAAATCGACTTCGCAGAAACATCTACCTCCTCACTTGCCTCGCAACTGTGACACCCTTGTGAAGGATAGTACAGATCCGCTTGTCTGTAAGTTGACCACCGCACCTGGATTGAAAAGGAGGGCTGGCTAGCTCTGGTATAGGAACCTTTCTGGACCTGGGTGGGTTGTCGGTGATAGGCTGCGCGTATCTGGCAGAGCTATCACTCGCCGCGACCCCTGAAAGGAGCGTGGTGCGCGACGAGTGGTTGTGCCTAGATGATCGCTGCAGAGATGGACTGGGACGGCATGTCTCACGTAGCGCACTGGTATCAGTACGATTCCGAGGGATACGATAATCCACCATAATGGACTATAGAAGTCTTGTTGGGTGTCTTCGAGTCGCACTCATCGAGTCAGTGCGGATGGATGACACAGGTGAGTTTACGTGAGGGAATACAGGATACACTGAGATCCCTTAGCTCGTAGAATCGAACGAGAAAGGAGTGTAGGCCGCTGATGCTCAGGGATGCAAGGAGCAACTCCCTCTCTGAGCTCGGCTCTGGTAATTTATGATAGAGGCGCACGAGAGCTGTGCTTGAAGGAAACTAGCAAAGAGAACTTCGTTAACGTATCATGCGTAGCTACTCAACGGATTATGCCGCTAATTCCGTGTATGCATCCCAGCCGCCCATCTATTCTTTGCTCCTTCAATCCGTTGGACATAGTTAATTTATTATTGGATATACTATATGATGGGGATCTCCATGTTTCCATGCGCCAAACTGGACCTTAGTAAGAACTAGTTCTAGGCCACAAAGTTGTCTGATTGATGTGTGATGGAAAGAAGACAATTCAAAAGAGAAGAAATGGAAGAACCAGCCGCAAAATAATCTCTCTAATCAGGGAAAACCAATCCCGCCACTCATCGCGGATCACAACGAGAAGTAATGGCATTGAGGGATGTCGGTTATAGCCACGTGCACATAGCCGCTTGCTAACGCAAAGTGGGATCGTAAGTTCTGCAGTGTGAGGATTGTTTCTTTTCGAATGCGCCTTTTTATTGTGTTTCTGCCGAGTACGGTGTAGAAAGTCATAGCCGTTGAATCTCCTGACCTGGCTCACATTGAAGCTAAACTAATCGCGGCTTAGTGACCCTCTATTCATGTAGAACTTCCATGTGGGAATCGCCCTTGTGGATGTCGGTGGTATTTAATCAATACGCTGTATAAACTTCGTCACTCATCACAACAGATAGTTCTTGCTTTACACTTACATGGCCCACATCGACACTGCGAGAGGCATGGTATGTCCAGAGGGCACCCATTCCCGACAGTCATATGCGGCAACTAATAAACTGTGGATCAGTAGACAGTCTTCACTGAAGCACATCACGCAGGTGTAGCAGGATATAGTGCAGTTCTGGTATTTAAAGTGCTTGGGAGAAGTCGACACTCATATCGGCTGTTACCATTATGCCAAAGTTTGTAAATCTGTGGAAACTGGTACCTCGGACCACACCGAAGAAGTGTTCTACCCGACTTCATACCCGCCGGAATCCGTCATGCACCATGGATAAAACTTGACACCCAAATATCTGTGGTGGTTTCCCTAGCAGGTGGACAATCCAGAGCCAGAATCCGGGTTGAAACAATTCACCCACCTGCCTTGACTAAACGAAGAACATACTAACAACTGAAGTGTGTAAACGATTTGCCAATGGGACTCCTTAAAGAAACTAACTCTTTGTCTAGAGAAGCCTTGTTGCGCCCGGTCTTGTGACAGGCGCAAGTGACAGAACCTTCAATTTTATGGTTATTAGCGGGGGTGGGCCGTTTGTGTCTTTTATACCAAGTCGCTGACTTGTATATATACTACACTTCTTTGAGGTCTTATAGCTCATCATGGTGTGCATTCCCACCTTAACGCCAGCCACGCAGGTATCTGATCTCCTGAGTTAAGGAAATATCAAAACCGACTTGACATGATGACAGATACGAGGCAGGTAACCAGCCAAACTTAGTGGCAGATTGGGTGTGAAGGCTATAAAGGCACCATTTGCCGGGAATGTCACTGGGCCCCCCCCTTTTTTTAAACTTTCTTTTTTCCCGCACCCGCTATCACTTCCTGGCTAAGGACGGTCTGCTCCTGGCCAGGTATTGTTCATCACAATATGTGACGCTTCTACGCAATGGTTGCTTAGAAACAGTAGTTGGAGGACATACAGGCACTCTACAGTAACTTTTTCGGGGAAGATCCAAACTGTGTGTGTGGGTTGTCAATGTATCACTGTTAGGCCGATTCGGTACCTGATCTGGAGAAAGGAACAGAACTTATTGTCGGCGCTGGGCAAGTAGACCCCGATAGTGAGAAGCACGGTCATCAGGCCTGATAAAACATATTGGGAAGATAGGTAATTTGTATCCTATAAATCGTATATGATTTCCATTTACACCACATACCTGGTTTCTTCATCCAATCTGACCACACAAATATTATCGGCCGGAAAAATATTGATGGAATCGAAAAGATGAGAAAGCGAGCCACGCCCGCACGCTAATAAAACCCGGGTCCAACGGCCCGATCGGTGGGCGCCCATAGAAGTCACAACTCAGTTGGAACTGGCTCAGGATATAAGTGGACAACATTTGTTGCTTACCCCTCATAAATATTTAGCTACATGAGTGATTCCTCCTCCGCAGACAATGCCACACATTTCGGGCAACCTGGTAGTGTCCTTCACTTTGGATGCTAGGTACTAATGTCAATATTACATCTCACGCAACCATACCGCGCAATGATTATATTTACTTGAATACTTGCCGGGTATTGTCATGTATACTACCCATCTGAACCTTCCAGTTAATAGACAACCACAACCTGGTCATAATTCCTGTGTGTGATTTGACATTCCGAACCATAGTGATCATACTCGGGTGAAAAATATGTTTAAAGAGATATAATATAAGATACACTAATAATAATAATAAATATATAATAATCTAGTACATATACAATACATACATAATAATACATAATAATAAGTAGATTAATAATGAATAATCGGCATTAAAGCCGATCAGATGGCCCGAGAGATCGCTCTACAGGCAGTAGTCGCCCGTAAGTGGTTTCGGCGACGCGAGAAGAATAGCGGGTTGCGACTTACCAACCGTCCTCCGGGCATGGGTGTATCTGTGTATGTTCTTGGTATGAGTGTGCGCTCGATCCTCTCACTCCTATTAATCATTTCTATCGCTTTCCAGTACCCTTCCAGGCAGGGGTACTTTGGATAGTCCAAGGGATTGGGGAATAAAAATACAACAGGCTTCGGAAGAAGGAATAGATTGATTATTGTATTATTCCAGACAAGACACGCTATTTTACAGACCCTGGGCTGGAGGATTGGGTGGAGGCTCGGACTTGGGCTCCTCGTACGCCGGACAGTAGGGGTCGGCACCGGATTCGACACCACTACCGGAGACATAGACTAGAGAGAAACATAGACAAACTTACTGAAGTACATGACCTTAGCCAGCTGCAAGCCGAATCCTGGATAACCATTAATCATCCTGACAATTTCCTTTCTCCCCGAAGCCTGTTGATATTTTTATTCCCCCAAGCGTTCTTAAGCCCTGGAGGTATGGAAGATGTAAAATGATAAGATGAGGAGTGAGAGGAACCGACACAAACTCATAACAGACATACACAGAGGTTACCCGCAACATCCGCGAGAACGGGAGTCGAACGACCGCTATCTTCTGGTCCGAAACCATGTACGCGCACTGACTGCCTTAGCGGATCTCTCGGTCCATCCTGATCGGGCATTATTATTTGTTGCTATTTTTTTATTTTTTATATTTTTTATATTTTTTTATTCTGTAATTTTTGTTTTTTGTTTTTATTGGATTATAATATATATATATATATAATTATTATTATTTATTATTCTTATTATTAATTATTATTATTATTATTATTATTATTATTTAACATTATAATAGATAGAGACAGTATGCTACTTGGTCGGAATGGTCAATCACCCCGGAATTAACCACAGGTGTGTCCGGTTGCTTTTTACTGAAGGTTCAGATGCTTCATGACATACGGCAAGTATTCAAAATTAGCTGCCTTTGCGTAATATATTACATTCCCTAGCCTCCAGTGAAGACCCTCAGTGCCCGAGTGTCGATTATTCGGGATCACATACTGTAGCATATTTATATATCAACGACGATATGCTCACTCCACACCTCTCTACATCAGACGACATTACCCACTGACGCCTTGTGACTTCATGCGAGATCGGTATAACGTCTGGCTGCCTCTCTTGATATTTTTCCCCCCCCCGGATATTTGTGGGTATTGGTTATTGATATATCGAATAAGGAAAACCTACTGATTTTTTCTATCAATGTAACGTTATAATCGGGTCTAATTGCCGCCGACATGTTCTGTCAGTGATAATGAAGCGATCCCAGTAGAGTGGTGTGGCTCCTCTTTCAAGCACATTTCTTGAGGCACATATTTATAATACGTTATAATACGGCACGGAAGTGGCGAGTAAGCCCGTTCTCAATGCCAATAATTGGTGGACCTGCTTCACTTCATCATGTCTCTTTTTGTATTCCAACTGTGCGTGGCTGGCGTATGTGCACACATATAAGCCAAAGGAGTATGTCAGCACTGGAATAACAAATGAATTGATGGCCCGCACAAGGTTTCTAGCAAAGAGTTGAGTTCTTAAGAGTCCATGCAATCGTTTACACACTTCAGTTGTTAGTATGTTCTTAGTAACAGTGTGTTTCATTTGGAGTGGCTGTTGGAAACCCAAGTATTTGTAAGTTTCATGGGGTTCCATGAAGGTAACCTTTGGTTCATTATCAGTTTCCAAATTTATAACTTGCGTATGACCCCGAATGATATTCACTCTCCTGCACTTATCCAAACCGCATTTCATCTTAATGTCGTCAGTGAACTTCTCCGTCACATTTATTAGTTGCCGAATATGACTCTCAGTGTCTGCATAGAGCTTCAGGTCATCCATGTAAAGGAGATGTGAGATACGAAGAAGAGTTGAGTTCCCCTTTTTAAGAGCGATTCCATAATTAGATGAATTAAGTAGAGCAGTCAGGAGATTCAAGGCTAAGCAGAACAATAAAGGGCTTAAAGAGTCACCCTGGAAAATCCCTTGGCGGATGTGTATAATATCTGTGTGGACGGATTGTTTTCCATTAGAGAGATAGTTTTGTATTCCATCACCTCATCGCAATTTTCAGGAAGTTTTGGATAAACAGGTGGACCTTGTATACATCCAAACATTGAAGGAGCAAAGAATGGGGCACGGTGTCGAATGTAGCGTAATCTATGTAGCATTCGTACAAGTTTCTTTGTTTTTCAAGCACTTGCCCCATAATTACAGAGTCTATAATGAGTTGCTCCTTGCATCCCTGAGATCCAGGCCTACATCCTTTCTGTTCATTTGCTAAGATGTTCTGTTCCTCAATGTGTGTCATCATCATTTGTGAAACACAAGATGTTATGAGTTTGTAGAAAGTTTGAAGGCAGCCTCTAGGCCTGTACTTTTAGGGGTCTTAAGTGCCACCCTCCTTTGGTAACAAGAATGTTCTACCTTCAGTGAGGAAGTAAGGTAGATTTTCTGGATTTTGAAGAAAATATTGAATTATATTAGCTATATGAAGGTGAGTGCTGGTAATTTTGTTCAGTCAATAATTGTGCAGGCCATCATTGCCTGGTCCCTTCCAGTTATGTGCTTTGTTCAAAGCTCCTTGGACAATTTCCACGGTGATGATTGGTTCACCCATTAGAGGGATATCTCTATGTCTGTCATATTCCATTTCAATCCACCTCATAACTGGGTTGTGGGACACAGCAGATGACCAGATAGGATTCGAAAAGTCCCCTATTTATAGCTTTCAGGGAATCTTTGACTCTTTCATATCATTTACAAGCTCTTTGCCCTTTGACATATTCCTGTAGAATGCTTTCTGGTTTCTGTTAAAAAGAAAATTCTGTTGCTTCCTCGTAGTGCAATTCCTGTAGCGTCGAAGTCGTTTTGTTAACGCCAAAACCTTTTTTGTCGTAGGGTGTCAAGATGTTCTGTTATTTTTGAATTCAAGGGCTCGTGCTTCGTATGTATTTTTGTATTGATAAGGATGTTATTTACCTTTCTTCTCAGTTTTTCTGAGGTATTTCCTTTTTTAAATTGTGCGAGTCTCCCAATATCTCTCCTAGTGTTTTCTATACGATTCACCAGCCGTCTTTCCCAAGGCGGCATTCTTTTTTCACTTTGATCATTGTGGGCAGTTGCTACGCGGCTGAGAAGCTTGAAACCGTTACATCTTGAAGCCATAACTGCAGCACAATTGCTGTGTGTACTTCTTCGAAAGATGGTCTTTGTTGTAGATGTTGTGGCAGTACTTTTTCATTCAAGACGCTGATTGCTCTTGCTTATTTCTTCGAGCAATTTTGTATGGGAATAAGATAGCGGTTCAGTGGGTCTTATTATTATTTATTATTATTCCGCTACATCACGACTAAGATGTTATGAGCCGGCTGAATATAAAATCTACTCCAGGTTATGACCAGCTACTTAAGGAGCAGATCTGCCTGTGTCTTTACAATACTTTGCACGAAATGTGTTCCGAATTTAGCACTTTCTTGCACTTCCCTGTCTTTTGGTTGACCTGGGAGTTTAACCAGGTTCTTGGACAAATTTTGCGAAAAAAAAACATAGTTCGATAACTATCGGAATGAGTTGTGCATTTACTCCCCACATTCGGCTAATATCGATTTCCAAACTCTTGTATTTAAGAAGTTTCTCTGCCTTCTTGGTTACGACATTTTTATCGCATGGCACAGCCACATCAACAAGTAGATAATTTTTTTCTTCAAATTCCGGATAACAATCGTCTCCTGAATGATTTAAGTAGTATATATACCTTTTGCGACTGCCTATATGTTTTAATGAGGTCTCTAAAGAAATCTAATATTATGGAGACAGGACTAATTGCACTTTGAAGTTCAAAATATGACGGATTTGTATAAAAAAACGCGTTCAAATAGTCATGTCAAATGCAACCTGCAGCACTCAGTTATCTATATCGTAAATTAACTCCTAAATGAAGCGTACTATAGGGTCTAGCCTTCTAGGGTCTAAAAAACGAAGCGTCCCAGGGTCTTTAAAACTAAAATTTTGAGGCCAAAGGCCACAAAAAAAACATTTCTCTCGCAGCATCACCTAGACGAATTAACTAGAATTAATAGTTGATTCCGATGAATATTGTTTCTTATGCATGTAGTGAAAACATCTATCGTTTTGTTGAGGTCTACAAGTGCTGTTTACCTGATTGCGGAAGGATGTGTGTGTACAGTGACGATCGAAGATGTGTTTTGTTAGGATTGATTTGTATTTTATCTGTACCAGAATATTCGTTATCAGCAGTGATAACGTGATTCGTTATCAGCGATTCGTTATCAGCAGTTATCAGCAGTTAGCTTTCTCAAGAACGTTCTGTACATTGTTTGAAGAACAAATCTATATAATACTGAATAAACCTCTGTTAAAAATTTGTGTCCAACATCAACTGCATTGCTTTTATTTTTGTTTGATGTTCTGTAAGTTACATTTTTACATTTTTTTAACAAATAAACACGTTTCGTTTACAACTTTCCTTCTTAATAGAAAGTTTAGGGAAAGGTTGGAGATTAACTTGCGATATTTCTCGCACGGGCACGCTAGTATTCGGTTTATTTATCGCTATCGTGCGATTAGTTTGAATTTGCTGGTCGTACAGTATGGTACATAGTCTAAAAGACGTCACAGGTTTTTTTGTGAGTGTTGGTACTTCAAGGGCGGTACAGATCTGCCAGCGGAGGTAACTACACACCCTGGCGTTTTTTCAAGTATTCATTCTTTGGTAGGATTGGACAAGCTGAAACAATATGATCAATGGTTTCTACTTGTTCCTGGCAAATGCGGCCTTTATCATTTTGGGAAATTTTCAGAACCGCTTTATCATAAAGCCCTATTCTCAATGCCTGATCTTGGCAGCTATTACAAGTTCTTCCGATTATCTCTTCATTCTCTCCAAGACACATAAATGGCTGATCTTTATGATTTGAACCTTGTCCATTCATTTTAGATACTGTCCATGGAGTGGTTTGTCTCTCCGCGACTTCATTAACAGTTCTTGGGTCTCACGTTTCATGTTTAGTAGCATCAGTACTGTCTGTGTGGCGTCTGTGCTCTGCCTGTCTTGCATCGTTTTCTTTGCATTGCCTCTTGCTACACTAACAATGCATCTATTTCCGATTATTTGATCAGATTTAATATCCTGCCTCTGTAGTGGGTCATCTTGATGACTGACTACATACTTTCCCACCCCGACTATCGCATTGTACCAGGAGGCTTCAATTTGTCTGAAGCATCTTCCTTCTTCCTTAAGTGACACAGTCTATGTACATCATCTCAAAGGTGAACGACATGATGCATTGTAAGCAGTTTTCGGGTATTTCGATTCATGATTCGAATTTTTTTCTCAGTCGAAGGCAGGGGAGGATCCAGCTGATTTTGGGTGGCTATAGTTTTTTGTTGTACAAATTTTCGTTAAATAATAAACATATTTCTTATTGTATTGTATATAGTTTATGTACTGCAGATATGATACTATACAACGTATTGTTTAAATAATTACATAATTCGATCATAAATCAATATTTAAATAAATTTTGCTCAATAAATGAAGGAAAATAAAAATTCGATGTCTTTTGAGGAGGGCCACGGCCCCATGGCTCCCCCTGGATGCACCAGTGGTCGAGTCCACTTCACCAAAACTGCACTCGATTACAGGCACTTTATTATTATCATTCTCATCTTTGTTTCAAATTCACTATGTTCTTGATATTGCGCAACTGTTGTCACACTGACAGATACGGATTGCAACGTGTTCTTGGCAGGTTGGCTGCAAGAACACACCGGACTTTCCAAGAAGCGATTATGCGTGCCGATTCCGAATTTATAGTACCATTTATTGTTACCAATAATTGCAAGTCGAAACGGTCTCTGAGGGTTCAAAGAGGTTGTAACCATAAACTTCCTAAAAGATGAATCCGTGACTAGGCAAAGAGAAACACTTCGTTAAGGTCGTTGACCACATCACATTGGTACACGACAGTTAAAATCATAATTACCGCGACAATTTTAAAGTCGACATAATCGACATAAATAAGAAAATAGAAAGATTCAATGAAATGAATGGAAGTATAAGAAGAACACTCAGATCAAAAGTGAGAAAGCTCTCTCATTAAATTTATAAAGTTATGTCAATACCAACCTGCTTATGCGGGAGTGAAGTGTGGACAATGACAAATAAAGATATATCAAGACTGCAGGAAGCGGAAATGAGATTCCTTAGAGCGGGAGCGGGATATAGCCTTTTGGACAAAGAAACACACAAATCCGAAACGAGCTAAATGTAGAAAGTCTTATAGAGAAAGTCACCAACTACAGACTCTCATGGCAAGATCACATGTTGCGAATAAACAACGACAGAATTCCTAAACAAGTAGCAAATTATCAGCCAATAGGAAAAAGGAATGTAGGACGTCCAAGAATGCGCTGGAGGGACCAAAATTAAGCGGCGTAACAGACATTATGCCTAAATACTTGACGATAAGAAGAAGATTTTAAAGTTTGCGTATTGTACCATAATGTACGTGAAGATGGGTCAAATGATTTAATAGTGAAACGCAAGGTGATGTATCTGCGATTCTTAGTCGGATGCTTCCTGACACCTCGGCTCCAAGTGTGGCGCATTCGCGTTCCGCATGAGGCCTCGGCGTAATGTGTTGCGGCTTCGGTCGGGTCACCCTCCAACATTCATAATCCCCTTCCTTCTCATAGCAGTCATACGTACTTTCTCCCAGAATCGGCAGTATGCAGCCGAAGTGGATTTATGGGGCAATAATCGTAGAACTGGGCTAGATGTATCCACGGACCACTCTTAACAGGCAAAGACGGACATCGCCCCCTAGCACAAAGGAAATAAAGGAAGGGCGACGGGGTTGAATATCTCGATCTCCATGGAGAAAGGATATTTAAAGAAGCAGGGAGGGGTAAGTTGACGAAAAAATGAAAGGTTACAAAGCTACCTAGTCATAAAATACAACTTAACATGAACAAGTTGTATGAAATTCATTTTTGAAGAAAATAGAAGTACAGATGATGGATCTACATTTGTAATCAAAAAGCTGTGAAAAAAGATAATCAAAATACTTCTTGATCAACTATATTTTAAGTAGCTGAAGCTTTTGATACGGTGAATAACAATCTATTTCTGGGGTGAATTGGCAAACTGTGGGATCGGCTTAGATGGATAAGTGCATCAGTGAATGCCATTGCATTGCCTCTGACCAGGAGGACCTAGTGTTGGAGTCCTGGCAGTAGCAGGATTTTTGACATTCGGTGCAGATCTCCTCAAATTCAGTCGCTGTCTGAAGGCTGCTCTGATCGGTAGTTTTCCGTGGTTTCTCCGATCAACACCAGGTGAATAGCGGAGCATTATCCTAACAAAAGGGATAGGGACTGCGCGCGATCTTTTCTTCCTCTTCCTTGTTCTATCCTCGCTCCTCACACACACACACACACACACACACACACACACACAC